GGGGGGGGGGGGGCATGCCCTGATACTGCACAGAGGGAAAACTTTTTTAGTCTTTGTGAAATGTGATAGAAGTGTCAGAAGTACACAAAGGACAGAGAGCATGACTGGACAAGCTAGGGAGTGGAAAAGGAAGGGACTGGTAAGCCATCCAGGGGAAGAAAGCAAGCCAGGCGGGCACTGTGCAGGCCGGCAGGTGTGAGCTCTGCTTGAACTGCCAGGTGGGTAAGTTCTGACCGACGTTTGCTCTGTTCCCACCAGGTGCATGGGCAGTTAGCACGGGAACTAGACTCATCTAGGTGTGCAGGACCCCAGCCCTAGATGGGACAGAGCAGTCCTGGAGTATTTATTCCAGGGGCATCGCTCCAAGTCCCTCAGGGATTAGCCAGAAGTAAATATAAATCACCAATTTCTTTAAATATTCACTTAATAACAGTAATTACTGGTGGGAATAATCAGCCCCAGTTTTTTTAAATGTGTGCAGTAACATTTGGTTCCCATGAGAAAATTGGTCCTGGTAGAAATAATAGCCCCCAAAGAAAATGGACAGTGGCAGAAGCTAGAACTGAAACCGATACCGATGAAATCATTTCAGCAAAGTAAAAAGGAAAGTGTTTTTTAAAGTACTTTAACTGTGTTGTATTGAAAATTGTTCAAGAAGCCCTGACTGGTGTAGCTCAGTGGTTAGAGCATCGGCCCACACACCAAAGGGTCGTGGGTTCGATTTCCAGTCAAGGGCATGTACCTGGGTTGCAGGTTCGATCCCCGGCCCCATCAAGGCACATGTGGGAGGCAGCCAATCCATGTGTCTCTCTCACATCGATGTTTCTCTCTCTCCCCCTCCCTTTCCTTCCCACTCTCTCTAAAAATCAATAGAAAAAATACCCTCCCATGAAGATTAGTTAAAAAAAAAAAAAGGAAAACTGGTCAAGGAATTAGATTGGCTTAGTGGAGAACTCAATCCAAAAAGCAAAGAGTGAAAACAGCTACTGGGTCACAGTGAGTCCCTTATGGAGACCCCTACTCTATGTCCAGGGCCCCTGCACCTTCCCCCCCCCCCC